CGTGACAGGGGTCAGTATCCGCAGGCTGCCATTTAAAAAAAATTAAGTTCTAAACCAAGGGTGGCTGACCCGTGGCTCTTGAGCCACATGCGGCTCCTTGCTCACAGAAATGTGGCTCTCAGGGTTACGGCTCGTTCGGAGCCGCATGCCCGTTTTGTGCACGTGCCCCAGTTCCTGGAGGGAGAAGTGCGTGGCTGTGGCGGTGGCAGCTCTGGTGAGACCCAGGCATTGGGTTAGAATGGGAGGGGCCTAAGGGTGCCTGGCTCTGGGGGAGGGCATTGGGTTAGAGTGGGAGAGGAGAGCTGGGGGTGCCTGGCTCTGGGAGAGGGATGTGTGGCTCTTTGCACCACTATCCACAGCTCTTTTGGCTCTTGGTGTCTAACTGGTTGGCCACCCTTATTCTAAACCAACCAAAAAGTCTGTGCACAGCCAAGTAGCCAGTTAATCAAACACACAAATAAATCAAACACAAAGGCCAGAGCAAATGACTTGAACCTCCTGACTGAAGAGAGATTTATGTTGCTTCTTATTGGTCACGTGTCAGTTCACATGGTCTATGAACCTCAAAGGCTTTCTGATCACATAGCCTCCCCTCAAACAGTTCCTGCTGCAATGGCTTGTCGGTGGGTGGACCAAGTGCACGTGGGCAGATGCTTGCAGGCTTTTCCAGGGATGTGTTCTCCCGTCTGATTTCTCAACGTTCTCAAGGGAGACCAGAGTTATCTTTGGCTGAGTTGAGATATTTTCTGTTCTTGTAGGAGTGCTCCTCAGAAGTAGTTATGACATGTGACCTTGGTATGGATGAGATAGCTGCTACCTTGGCAGGATGCCAGATGCCTCTCTGCTTGCCAGTTTTTAGTGGGTGTAGCCATTTGGTATTCTGACTGTGCTGCTTCTCTCCGAGTTTCCTAGCACATTCTTTTGTATCCAAGGTTAGTTGTCTTTGACTCAAGAGTTCTATGTGCAGAACTGTCTCCATCAAGCCCACAATGATTTTTTAAAATGTTTGGGGTGTTTCATGAGGTTGAAATTTCCTTCAAGAGCATTTTATGAACTGAAAATAATAACTTCTCCCCCAAAATACCTTGCCTCAGGTCTCCCTTATCATCTAGCTAATTTAATCTATTTCAGAGGCATCTTATTGTATAACCTAAACTTGCTATCTATGATATTTCTGCATCACACATTTGGAGACATGGTGAGTTTCTCTTGATGGTAACGCAGCTGAAAATAAATCTGCCAGCCAGGGTCTTCACAGCTGTGGCTTGATACTTTGCTGTGAAATTATTTCCTGTGTTGCTGTGGTCAACCCTTTAGGAGGCAGGTTTTGGTTTTTAATCAGTATGTGTGCATCTAGGCAGCACCCTTATCTTGGAATAAGCTACGCAAATTGCACAGCTTATTTCGACTGTATTTCGAAATAATGTGCTATTATGAGACATCCCTTAACCCTTGTGGAATGAGGGTTATGGGGATGCCAGAATAGCGTGCCTGATATTTTGAAATCTATTTCAAAATAACGTGTGTGTGTAAAAGATGTGGAATAGATATTTCGGGATACCTCCAGTATCCCGAAATAGCTCCGCTGTCTGAACATATCCCAGATGTGCACATTGCTGCATTCACATTTAAATCACTGCATTGCCCAGAAGCTTTGAGACACTTCCTACCTACAGTAAATGGCAGTCCCTGCTCGCTAGTGCATCTCTCATCGGCCACACTTGGTAGCAGCTGCTATGATAACTGTCAGTTTTAAAGCCAGCTGGCTCTCAGCTGAGGCTACAGAGCAGACTCATTCTTCTCTCTGTAAGAGGTCTACAGCCAGATGTACACTGGTGGAGAAAATTGATGCAAAATATGCAACTCCAGCTACGTGAATTGTGTAACTGGAGTCATTGTAACTTACACTGATTTTCTGGGGTGGCCCCACAATGAGAGATCAATGGGAGAAATGCTCCCGTTGACTTCCCTTACTCCTACTAACAGGGACACTCTCAACATTCAATTTAGCGGGTCTTTACTAGACACTCTAAATCAAACCCTGGATGTTTGATCTCCATAGCATCAATCCTCTAGCAAGTGGAGATGTGGCTTCAGTATCAGTAAGTGGGACAGAACACTACACCCAGTTTGGGTTACATTCACAAAACTGGTAAGTCGACATCACAGTCCCCACAACAGTTCAGTTTTTGCACATGTACTTTGAGTATTTGCTTTAGCCTAAAACTCAAATTCTTTGCCACAGCCCCCCAAATAATTTTGCTGGGATTGAATGGCTGGAGCAACATGAGGTCCAAACATGACAGGGACAAAAAGAGCCTGTGCATCTGGGCACTGGTGGAATGGTAAAGAACTTTATAGGTTTAGGAGCAGGGGACAATTGGAAAGACAGCAGGTGAGGGGCCCAGAGGGATTCTTAAGGAGAGCTGAGTGAGGCGACCTTTCTAGGGCTATGGCAGAACCACAGGGGTGGGGACTTTTCCAAAGCACGTTTTGTTGACTATAGATTCTGGATTGATTATGGATACCAATATATTATAACATTGTAGGTTACTTTCCCATTTTTAAAAATGCCCCCATTTATTCCCTCATTATAATTTCAACACCTTAGACTTTTTCTGGTTCTACAGTACAACAGAGACCCTTTTTTCCAAAGTCAATACAATCACAAATAAGAACTTTGGTGATTCTTTAAAGACTCAAACCCAGGAGCATAAATTCTTTCTGCTTTGTGACCAGCAGAATACTTTTTGAAATAAATCACTGAAGGCCAGGTTCTGCCCTTATTTACATTGAGTAATAACTTCTCACTCGTGCCTTTATAAACAATGGCACCTCTTCCAGAATGAAGCGCTGTGTATTACAGACAGACGGCTGGATTTCGTTGCAGTGATAAGTTATGTCCAACCAAAAATGAAGAAAGGCATGTTGACCTCATTTGGGGGAATTCAAATTGATCTCTCAAAATGATTAATAGCCTAACATATTCATGGTCTCCAAACTCCTGGCGAATTAACACTAACAAACCTCACTGACATCCCCTTCTGAGCAAAAGACCGTGCCATCTTTCATACTAAAAACAGCTGTACGGTAGATTGGAGTTTAGCCATCTTCAGTGAATTACTTTTAAGTTCAGAGCATACAGTCAAACTGACTTTACTTTAAGAAGATTTACATAAACCATGTATCCTAATAGTTGAGTTTACTTTATGAGAGTGCCACACCAAAAATAGTAAAATTATGAGATCAAAGAAAGCGTGTGTATGCTATTTCAGCTAAAAATCTACATTATCCAACAGAGAAGCTAAAACCAGCAAAGAATTTGTGAACACTGTAGATGGACCAATGCTGTTTTATATTTTAACTTTTAATCCCACTTATCAGTTTAAAAATGGGTGTGGGGGGGAATCAGCAGCCCAATAAAAAGTCTTCAGGCATGATGCTGATTAAACTCCTAAAGCACTGTATATATAACAAGTGTGCTAGTATAAAGTTTTGGGAGGAAACTCTCTTTGGGGCTGTGAATAATTGATATATTAATATAGTAATATAAGGTTATTCCTTAATATAACAACCTGTTTAAGAAAAGCAATAATTACAGTTATCATGAAGCAATAGTTTATACACAGAGGGTAGTAATTATCGGATAATTGTATGGAGTAGAATTAAATGTTCAGAGTTTCTTGTTTTACAAATTCTAAAGATTTTAATTCTGTGGTACAGTCCCATCTATGTGGTGTTTTCCCGTTTGAATTTTCTTTTCTTTTCTATCAAAGACTTAAAAACGGCTAGCTCTTTCTACAGGTAGCTACAAATGCAGCCCTGCACCACTTCATATCACCTGGCATGGAATTTACATTATGTTCATCTGATCAAAGATCTTTAAGGTGTACAATAATCGTGCTGATGGGGCTATGTGAGAACCTAGATAGGGAGACAGACAGATCTTAGTTGAGTTTTATTAGCATGTTTTGCTGGAGCAATCTCCCATAGGAAAGTTATGTGAAATCCCATATGCACCAGCAAGCTTGTGCTTCTCTGCCTTTAAAAGATTTGAGATTGATTCTAGCCTCACATACTTGGTGCTTAGTGCCATGCATATATATTACAATTCTAGATATATTATATAGAGTATTTACTGATATATAGGACACATACAGTATTCCCCATGTGGGAACATGTTATCTACTGTAAAACATACCTGCATGCATGCAGTGTTTTGCATCTGACAAAGGGAGCTCCAGCCAACAAAAGCTTATGCCCAAATAAATTTGTTATCTTTAAGATACCACAGGATTCCTCATTGTATATGCATACAGTGGAAACCGCATATAGGAGAATCATCTTCATCATAAATAAGACAATTTCACTTGCAAGCAAATTGCAGTCTGCACACTGTGGTGCATTGAAAGTACTTGGGACCAGGATTTTAATTTAGTATACACAGTTCCATGGTGTCCTAGTTCACAATAAGGAGTTTCACAGCAAAATATACAGAATGGGAAGGAGGGAAATAAATCTGACTGAAACAGACAAGTTGTTGATTCTTAAGATGAGTACAGGATTCTAAGCTTATCATGCATTGAAAGCTTTTGATGCATGAGTGTGGAGTCCCCTGTATCAAGAAACAAGATCAGAACATTCTCAATTGTGCTGTGAATTCGCCTGCTAATTTGTAACCCAGCTTCTCCAATTGCAAGAATTTAGATAAAGGAGATGTGGAAGCATTTAGCTCTGCCTGCAGCCTCATGGGTTATATGTGGGTGCACCTTATTTTAAGTCTCAGCATCATCTGTTTTCTGATGGTGTCTATATGTACGTATTCTGTGTCTGTTTCACTGATCAAGTGTGCAACTGGTAGCATGGCACTTTTATAATCTCACAGCCACTAGATTAAAGCACACACACAGCTACAATTCTAATTGAAGATTTCCTTCATGTATTGCCAACTTGAGCAAACTGCAGCATAGAAAGAGAGAGGGATGTTTAAACAAACTTACCAAAAATAACTGAAGTTCTCAAAAGTTGCCCTGAAGTTGAAATAGCCGAGAACACCAATCCAAAGCCTGTCCCCAAGTTCTTGCTCTTTCTCCCCCTCTCTCTCTATTGCACTTGGGAAAAGGGCAGTGCAGAAATTCAGCAAAACAATTTTCCTTCTATGTAGATTTGGGCGTTTCTTTAGAGTCAGAAAGGGAGTGGCCGAGCCCCGGTGAGGCTTGTTGCCATACCCCACGCCAAAGAGTGCAGTTGCAGATTACACAGCCTGTGAAATTCAATACCTGCTGTACTGTAGCAACAGCTGTAATACTTCATTTAGAGCAGGACTGACAGACTCTGAGCTTGTTCCTGGCTAGGAACTCACACTGGGATGTAGGAGAGCGGTGTGTGGGTTTCAATACATACTCTGTACCACGGAGAGCCTACAGCTATTTGTATGTCTCCAGGCTGGACAGACAGCACAACTTCCTTAGGACTGAAAATACATTGGGTGTGAGAGAGAAAGCAAACCAAACATCTCTTTTCCTGAGGTTTATTCCCAGGCATAACTGTGTAATTAACAATATAAATGTACTGGATGTAGCTTCTCTCACCAGCTCACTTCAAATGCACAATGCTTTTGATCTTTTCTGGTCTACAACTTACTGCTGTAAAAAAAAAACCTTGGACACTGAAACTAACAGCTCTGGCTGCACCGTTTGCTTACCCCACTTATGTGGTATTGTGACTTAAAGCTAGGGAGTGCCACTGTGCTCTTACAGCTGCCTTGGCAATGTGTCCTGATACTAATACATGAGGAGAGCTGTTCAGCACTGGCAAAAACTGGTTTGCTGAGGTTGGGATTCCTCCCCTCTCCTCCCATTTTCTAATCTCCTCCCCCTCGCTCCCAAAAGAAGCCTTTGATAACATGACGGCAACTATTACACTTCCAGAACTCAGGGAAAGGCAATGGAAATGCAATGCATCATTGTTTCCGCCATAGGGCTGTACTAATTACTGTGTTCTCAAAAGCATGTACGGGCCCAGGGGAGCCTGCAAACTGGAAACAAAGAAGTTGGGAGTGTCCCACAATGTAGCCAGCTACTTTGCCAATGCACCAGAGAAGAACAGGAATAAGTGAAAAATATGCTAGTCAGGGAGAAATGACTATATATGCAAGGTTGATTCATTTCATGTCAGGGCCAGTGTTGTATAGCTGGGCATTTTTAGAGTGTTAAAGATGTTAAAATATTTAATTCTATGCACTGCATATTCTTTGGACCTGTGTTGATAAAAATGGGACACATAGGCGTGTCTAATTTGCATACACAATTACTGTATCTCCCTGTGGGAAACAGGTATTTGCTCATGGAAATCAGAAGTCTGTGCTTTATTTTGTGCCTGCAGCTATGCATGCTATGAAAATCAGGTGCTAAATACTGAAATGTGTAGAGGGTAAAATCAATTACATTGTATATATAAAACCACAAATGTTAGTGGCACTTTAAAAATCTCATCCAGGCAGAGGGCCAACTTGTGAAATCAATACTAAGACAAAACCAGAAGGTTTTGATAGCAAATACAGGAAAAGTTTAAGGGAGGGGAGGACAAGAGTAAAGTTATGTGGATGCTTGGACAAGCAGTGTACTTATCAGCTACACCTATCTATAACATATGGTATATGACTATGGTTCATATGTGTCCCTAAAGTAATGTGATTTTATGTGAGGCTTAGGGTACAGTGGCAGCATGAAGATAGCCTCAGGCATCTGGAAAAAAAACTTGGGCCCAAATCCTAAAGGTATTCATAGAATTTAGGGCTAGAAGGGACCGTTGTAATCAGCTAGTCTGAACTCCTTTATAGCACGGGCCACACATCTAATGTGTAGCCCCCACAATGTGTAACAATGTGTAACAATGTGTAATAGACACCACATAATTCTTAGAGTAGATATTTTAGAAAAATATCCATTCCCAATTTAAACATTGTCAGTGATGGAGAATCTCCCACGACACTTTGCAAATTGTTTCAATGATTAATTTTCGCCATTAAAAAGGTACACCTCATTTCCAGTCTTAACTTGTCTAGCTTCCAATTCCAGGTACTGGATCCTATTGGACCGTTCTCTGTTAGACTGAAGAGGCCATTATTAAACATTTGGTCCCCCCATAGGGACTTATAGACTAATCAAGTCACCCTGACTTTACTCTTTTTGAAATTAAATAGCTTGAACTTTTTGAGCCTGTCACAATAGGGCAGGTTTTCTAACCTTTAAAGCATTCTCATGGCTCTTCTCTGAACCCTTTCCAATATATCAACCTCCTTTTTGAATGGTGGGCACAGTATTCCAGCAGTAGTTGCAGCAGAGCCAAATACAGAGGCAACATAACCTCTTTACTCTTCCACTTGAGATTCCCCAGTTGATGCAGATAGCTCCTTTGGCACAGTTTCACGCTGTGATTATAGTATGTACCACCCCCCACAAAATCTTTTCCAGAGTCGCTGCTTCTCAGGATAGAGTCTCCCATCCTGTAGATGTGGCCTGCATTCTTTATTCCCTGGTCTACAAATTTCCATTTAGGTGTATTAAAAGCCTATTGTTTCTTTGCACCTTGTTTGCAAAGAGATCCAGATTTGAATCAGTATGTAAGTTAGGTACCCAATACCTTTGAGGACCTGGGCAACATAGGTTTGGAGAGGTGCAGTCCACACAAATAACAGGAGCAAAACTCCTGTATATGAGAAGTGGAACATGGGCTGGTTAATAGCTAGCACATTTCTTTCCCTTGCATGCCAAACCCTGAGGAGGAACATTTGTATAGTGTTATGGGCCCAGCCCAATTCCCACTGAAATATCCCTTTGTCTAGGTATTATGCACCCAGCCTTATTTTACTGGTGGGTGAGTCAGACTACATGGTTACTTGCTGGTGTCACAGGCTGAATTTGGGCATTTCAATTTTTGGCACTCGCTATTTGAAATATGAAAATGTGATATCTGGTGCAGCCTTTCTGAGTAGTCAGTCAGGAGAGTATTAGCGAGTGACAAAGATTCACACCAGATATGCAAAACTAAGAACTACAAGCTGACAGCAATCAAAGGTGGCTCAGGTCGAGTCAGACATTTGACTCTTTGGAGCCATCATACACGGACTCTTTTTTAGCTTAGTGGCTAGTCAAATTTCAAGACTGTGGCTGAGCTAGATGGGAGTGAAAACCGATGGAGACCAATATGTTCTTTGATGCTGCCTTGTTTATTTACAAGGAATGTACAAGGTCCTGTTTCTCTAAGTGCAGGAGGAAACAAGAGCAAAAGAACCTATTTCTTAGTTTACAGCCCCAAGCCTCTTTGGCCAATGCCAAACTCAAAACCTCTTTATCTAGCTTTTTCCAAGCTCATAAGGTGTTTATAGGCTGTTACTTCTTTCTTTCTTGCATACACACACAAACACACTGCCTCTCTCTCTCTCGCTCTCTCTCTGACACACACACTTGAACCCTCTGCCACATGGTTTTGGTTTCTAGGGACTCTATTGAATCTTGTTTTAGGAGAGGCCCCTTAACTGTCTCTTACAACTACATTAAATGAAGAGTGTGTTCACCTGACATCAGTTTCAATATGGTTTTAATTCAATCCATAACAAGGATTTACCCAGCTCATTACACACACATACATTCAGTGTTGGAGCAACCCTTGACAGTGTTGAAAAAGCAGCAGCGTGCTTGTTTTCTCATTTAACAGTCTATTCTAGCGGTGGGCAATCTGAGGCCATCAGATTAATCCAGGGGTCAGTAATGTCCGGCACGTGTGCCATAAGTGGCACACAAGATGATTTTCAGTGGCACGTGCAATGAACGGGCTCCCCCTCGCTCCTCCCCACCTGCAGCAGGGAGCCTGTGCTGGCAATCCAGCATCATGCCTCCCACATCCTGCAAGATTGGAGCCAGAGCCAGAGCCAGAGCCAGCTTCCTGCAGGGGAGTGGCGGGGGGGGGGTGGGGGGGGGGGGGGGGAGAGGGGATCCTGTTCATTGCACAAACCTCACAGATGTAAAAGCTCGGGGAGAGTAGAAAAGAGTCTAGGCACATTTGCAAATCACCATTGCTGCTGCTGCAAGTTGCATAACGCGGTGTTACGTGCGTGTCGTCTCCACATACGTCAGCTGAGCCACCTTTCACGGCAGTTTGGCCCTGTCCCTTTCTCTACCTGGGCATGTTCCTATCTCTGTCATAGCCTCCAGGACGGGAGCCAGTCGCAGCCAGCGGGAGGGAGGAGAAGAAGGTGTGCGTATGCACTGAAGGCCAAAGTCTGACAGTGAACTTGGAGGGAATGAGTATGTTCTGTATTCAGGATATTTGGGAATGTATGCTCATCAGTTAGTGTCTTGTTTCTAACTTGATTTCAGAGTTGAACAGATGGCCATCTATGCTACACTGATTCCCCTGCTACTTCAGCTAGGCTACGTCTAGACTGCCATGATTTTCCGCAAATGCTTTTAACGGAAAAGTTTTCCATTAAAAGCATTTGCAGAAAACAGTGTCTAGATTGACATGGATGCTTTTCCGCAAAAGCACTTTTTGTGAAAAAGCATCTGTGCCAATCTAGATGCACTTTTTG